CCATTATTAGACTCTGGAGTTTTCTTCTCCCTGAGAACTTGGAGTCCACATTCTCACTTTACCTTCCCTCTCTCTGGCTCCAAAGAGTGAATAGCACTGTTGATGCAAATAATCCATAATCAATATATAAGTCAAAATTGGAGTGGGTTTTTTATGAGCCAAGTCTCAGGAGTATAACCCAGGGCTTTCCTTCTCCAAGGGCACCAAAGAAGTAGGGTGTACAGAGTGGTTATATACTGTCTTGGAACAAAGAGCATACGTCACATGTGATAGGAATGTCCCTTTCACAATAGTCACTGATTTGCTGGCACAGCAGATCAGTGGTCACAAAGTGAGCACAGCAGGTCGGTAATTAATCCTTATTTCTAGAAGGAGATGCTTATCCTTAAGGAAATGCCGATATGGGGGAAGATACATCTCTATCTTTAAGGGCATCATTCTTGTCTTTGGGACATTGTAAATGTTTAAAGCAGGTGTACAATGCACGCTCAACAGGCCACCTCAGGCCCTTTGGGAAAAACAAGGTCAGGCTGAATTAGTTTTAAACCAAATAGCTTCCTCATATACTCCAATATATCCTATCGCTTTTCATTTATTTATCAGAACTTTCCCAGGCAAAACACACACTGTATGAGACAGTGCACTGGCTAGGGCTCTGAAGGCTTGCTAACTGTCAAACCTTAGGCAATCCCTCAACCTTTCTGGACCTCATTTCCTTATTTGTAAAGTGAGGATCACAAGACCTCTCATGCCTGTCCCATACAGTCATTATGAACAGCAAAGGAGATAACACATACCTAAGTGCTCTGTAAGCCATAGTGCACTATACGGATGGAAGGTTCCATCCTCATATACCACCCTCTATCTGCAAAAGCAAGCTCTTCTGGATAACACTAGCACTAGAGCTTTCACCACGTTCTGAAAATTTAATATCAGTTCCATCTCTTTAGGATATTTGTAGCACTTCCAGTAGTATATATGATTTCCAAAAATAAATAATCCAATGATGTTTTAAATAAAAAATTTAAAAGAAATTGCAAAACAATTTGGTGAAAAAGCTATCAGGAATGAGTTTGCTACTGCAAGTAAATACTAAATTTATCTGTAAGCTTACTGGTCATAAAAACAAAAAGGGGAAATATAGTGGATTTTTGTGTTCTCATCCAGTATAAGGAAGTATATAATTCATCTAGAGAAAGGAGCTTTTTCCTGGCAGTGATTTCTTGATGGATTCCTACATGACTATGGAAGGCATCAGAAAAAAAAAAAATACATATTGGCTTCATCTGTGGTTTTGCCAGAGTTTATGTTCTTCATATGGAGGATTCTTATTTTAGCCCTCTATACAAGCCGGGGGTCCAATATGAAAGTTTAACATCAGTGAAGGCAATTATTGAGGAGAGTGAAGATAATAATTGATTGCAGGGGGAATTTTCGAGTCCAGAGCCGTGGTTCTCATCCTTGGCTTGCATTGGGATCACCTGGGGAGCTTTAAAAACCACTGATGTCTGGGCCCCCCTTAGAGATTTGGATATAATTGCTCAAGGGTGTTGCCTGAGCATGGGACTTTTTTAAAGCTCCCTGAGTGATTCTAATGTGCTGCCAACGTTGAGAACCACTGTCCCTGGAGGCATGAGTAATTTTTTTTTTTTAAGATTTTATTTATTTATTTATCTTCCTCCCAAAGCCCCAGTAGATAGTTGTATGTCATAGCTGCACATCCTTCTAGTTGCTGTATGTGGGACGCGGCCTCAGCATGGCTGGAGAAGCGGTGTGTCGGTGCGCGCCCGGGATCCGAACCCGGGGTGCCAGCAGTGGAGCACGCGCACTTAACCGCTAAGCCACGGGGCCAGCCCAGGCATGAGTAATTGACATGTCACTTTGATCCTTTATCTGAAGCCTTACATGTCCCTAAGCCACCAGCATGGGCTGTATCACAGTCAATGGGTTGATATTGTGTGACTGACCAAAGATAAGGTTTTAGACTAGTTGAGGGCAGGCTACAGAGTTGACATCTTGAGGTAATTTTGAAACCTGATTTCTCTTCTCACTTCCCAACAGACGAGGCTGCAAAAGTCAGGTGTTCTCAACAAGAACATGGAATCTATTGAAGACTGGACAAATACTAAGTTGAGACCCATCATTCCATGCCATAAATCATAGGACATATCATTTTGACCTGAAAAATATCAAAGCCAGTTGTTAACACTTTGCTGTTTTATCCTTTTAAATCCTTTAAAGGGAGAAAAACAAAAACCTGAGTAGGATGGTGTCTGATTTTTTTTTTTTTTTTTTTTTGCTGTGAGGAAGATCAGCCCTGAGCTAATATCCGTGCTAATCCTCCTCTTTTTTGCTGAGGAAGACCGGCTCTGAGCTAACATCTATTGCCCATCCTCCTCGTTGTTTTTCCCCCAAAACCCCAGTAAATAGTTGTATGTCATAGTTGCACATACCTTTTAGTTGCTGTATGTGGGACGCGGCCTCGACATGGGCGGGGAAGCGGTGTGTCGGTGCGCACCCGGGATCCGAATCCGGGCCGCCAGTACTGGAGCACGCACACTTAACCGCTAAGCCACGGGGCAGGCCCAGATGGTGTCTGATTTTAACTAGGTCTTAAGTCTGTGGTTCTCAAAGTGTGGTCTCCAAACCAGCAGCAGCATCACCTGAGAACTTGTTAGAAATGCAAATTCTCAGGGTCCACCCCAGACCTACTATATTAGAAACTTTGAGAGTAGGGTTCAGTAATCTTATTTTAACAAGCCCTCCAGATGATTCTGGTCCTGAGTTTGAGAACCACTGATTTAAACTATCAAGAGAATTGCTTTTGCCCCCTCTAATGGGCAGTAGTATGATTAGAAGCCTGGGATCTCTACATGTGTGTGTCCTGTAAGTATTGCAAACAACATACATTCTTTTTTTTTTTTTTTTTTTTTTCTTTGGTTTTTTTTTTTTTTTTGTGAGGAGATCAGCCCTGAGCTAACATCCGCCAATCCTCCTCTTTTTGCTGAGGAAGACTGGCCCTGGGCTAACATCCATGCCTTCCTCCACTTTATATGGGACGCCGCCACAGCATGGCTTACCAAGCAGTGCGTCGGTGCGCGCCCGGGATCTGAACCAGCGAACCCCGGGCCGCCGCAGCGGAGCGCGCGCACTTAACCGCTTGCGCCACCGGGCCGGCCCCAACATACATTCTTCATTGGTGTTTTTGTGATTAATTAGTTGTCCTTAGAATTTGCTTGATCTTCATGCAAGATTTTCTGCATGAAGTTTGTTAGGGAAGAAAGAAAGGATTGATAATGTCCAACAAAGTAATGGGTTCCCAACTTGAGGGAAAATCAAAGATTTCTCTTTATGAAGAGTAAACATTGCCTGAATGGTTGTTGAGGTCAAATATTTTGGGGGAGATTGTGACCTAATATTCAGGATGAGTGCTAAATAATTCTTAAAACAAGAGATTGTGTCAAGAAGCTCTTGTTAGCATTGGTGATTTTAAGACATTTTGGAGGAATCAGAAGACCATAGGATCTAGAAAATGGTAGCAAGAACATCACAGAATAATAAAGCAGAAAAAATTAACTCAGTCAATAAAAATGACTAGAGCAACAGCCTGTACAGAAAGGGAAAGAGGAAAGCCTGGTGGATGGGGAAGGCAGAAGTGGGATGAGCCAGAGATGACAGAGAGTCAACCCAGAAGGTACGAGTAATGAGCAGTCTAGGACTGACTCAAGGCCTTGGGTTTGACCATGACCCACAGCCCCCAGGGAGGCCAGGTGTGGGACACACCCAAGCCAGCAGGGAAAGGAGGTCTTGGAGAGCAGGTGCCGAGGAGTCAGCAGTTGACAAGGGGCCACTGTTGAAAGAGCCCTTGCCAGATACCAAGCTAACTTCAAGCCCCCTGTGTTCCAGTGTGTAAATCTTAACCATCCCCTCTCCGGTTTCCAGCCAGACATTGTTACTGTTCTCACATGTAATACCAATCCTGCCCCCAAAGGAAAGAGGAGGCAAAATGAGCACAGTTTGTAGTTGTGCCAGGTCTCCAGCCAAATGCAATGAAGAAGGGTCCGAACACTTTAGGGGACCCGGGACTGGGAAGGATGCTGTGCTATGAGCATTTTCATTTTCCCCCCAGTGCCATTCACTGATTAACAGTATCATATTCCTATAGTGGGAGGTGCAAAAACTGGCCTGTTTTCACTGGAAACAAGCATTCGCAGCACCAGTCTATGACATACACCCAGAGAACAGGGATGACAGAGAAACCTTCTTCCTGTTTTCCAGAAAAGACATTTGATCCATATTTTTCCTGCATGGAATTATGGAAGTTCCTTTCTGGTCTGGCTGAGCCTAACTCTCCAGATGCCTTCACTTGCCAGTGAGGTTTGACACATCAGGAAAGTCACTAGTAGGACTCCCAGGATCTGAGGAGACATCTGGGAGACACCTCTGCTGTGGACTTTTCTCACATAGGAGCATGATCCCACATCCAGTGATGGGCCAAGTCCAAATTAGAAATGCCCATGCTCTCTCAAGCCGCAGCCTCCAGCTTCCTGACTGTAAGACCTGGGGCAGCAGAGCTTCCCTTACCAGAGTCCCCACTGACTGACCCTATAGGAGAGGGCCCTTGGCAATAGTATAAGTGTGTCTTTTAAACTTCTCCATGGAAACCACCCTGCTAACAGAAGACGCCCTCCATCCTCTCCAGGGTCTCGGGAAAAGAAGGCTTGGCTCCTCTAGGTGCACTGTAGGAGTCCAGAGCTAATAAAAATGAACAGTGGGAACTCTGGTGGCAAATAAGCAAAGGGTCCCCTCATTGCCTCTCAACCACTGGGCTGGTACAGCTTGGGTAAGGCCCCCACTTCATAGATCCCAGGCCACAGAGGCCAGGGGTTCCTAAGCACCCTAGTGGGGCTGCTTCTGAGCTCAGGAAGGCTGGCCACATCCAGCGAGGGCTCTGCCCAGCTCCTCCTGAGCTTCTGCTCATCTCTGCCGCTTCCTTCTAGATCACACGGCAGCAGTACCAGAACGCGCTCACCGCCTGCCACATGGACAGCTCACCCCAGTCACCTGACGTGGAGGCCTTCACTGATGGAGACTCCACCAAGGCCCCTGCGACCCGGGGCACACCCCAGACCCCCAAGGATGATGCTGCTGTCACCCTGCTGAACAACAGGAACAGCCTGCTGTGTAAGTCAGTCAGGTGGTTGGACTCGGCTACCACGGGGTGAGGACGGCCCTGCCTTGCTCCTCAGTGAGGCCCAGAGCTGCCATCTTGTGCTTCATGGAGCCCCAAATCTTCTTTAAAGCAGAGGGGTGATGCGCTCGCTGTCCTCCCCAGGCAGCCGCTCAGACGGGCTAAGAAGCCCCGGCGAGGTCGTGTACTTGAGGATGGAGGAGATGGCATTCACCCAGGAGGAAATGATGGACTTCGAGGAGCGCAGTACACAGCAGCTCTCATTGTCTCCTGCAGCTGTTCCCACCAGAGCAGGTCAGGGAGGGAAACTGGGCCCACAGGAGCAGGGGAGGGTCATCACCACCAGGCAGTGGGAGGGCCCAGGCTGAGTGGGTGAGGGGAGCCTGGGCCCCCAGCCCGCGTGTAAAACTTCCCACCTCCTTATGCCACCAGGGAAGGAAACTAACATTTAATGAGCACCTTCCATGCCTCAGGCCCATTAATTCACTCTCCCAGGAAGGCAGTGTGTACACAGTGTTAGGAGCTGGGTTTCCATCTGGATTCAGACCCCGGCTCCTTCATTTAGGAGCTATGCAATTTTAGGCAAGTTACTTTAACCTAAGACTCAGTTTCCTTGTCTTCCTAGATAAGTTTCCTTATGTTGATAGATATAAATCATGGTGGCCAGCTCATAAAGTAGCTTGGAGTATAGATGAGATAACATAGATAGAGGGCACATCATGTTTCCTACTTTACAGATTAGGAAACTGAAGTCAGCCATCACTCTTACTGGCAGAGCTCTTCCCTTCCTTTGGGCCCCAGAGACCAGCAGTAACTGTAGGACTTGTCCTGAGGTCTGAGATCATATCACCTCCCTCTGAGACATTGAACGCTTCTGTCTTGACAGTGATTTGCTCCAAGCTCCCAGTGTCCCACCAGTCCTGGGATCCTCCTGTGCTTGCCTCAGTAAGATATACTTCCCCAAGCGCTCAGCAGCGCCCTACCTATCTTCTAGCCCAGCAGTTACCCCACCTGCCCTTCCAGACCTGCCCCACTCCATAGTCTGAGACCCCTCAAATCCAGAGCAATGACCTGACAAGTGCTCATAGATTTTTGAAGTCAGTGAGTCAACATGATTGAACTTGTGGCTAACTCAGAAAATCTGGAACATACTTAATCACCATTACACGACCTGAATTTAGCACTGATGTTCGTTTTCTCCTGCACACACTGAATTTAGCGGCTAAAGCATGTAGCAAGAAATTGTATAAAGGAGTAGGAATGGAGGAAATGGGGCTGTCTTTGGAGATCATCTAGTCCATCCTCCTTGTATGACACATGAGGACCCTAAGGCCTGGAGAAGGGAAATGACTTGCCCAAGTCTATATACTACATAGAAGCGGGCGCAACCTCGTGGCTTTGGGTGCAGTGCAGTTTCCACACACCACTTTGCCTCGCTGGTTAGGTTCTTATTACATTGACTATAAGGGCCTGGGCCCCTTCCCGGCTCTGCGAGTCTGTGGCTCTCTGAATCCGCACTGGGTTTGGTCGGAGAAGATCGAGGCATGTGCTTAATTGTTATTGAACTCTGTGATTTTCCAAGGTCTGTGCAAGTAGAGGAAGGAGCCATCCCCACTTGTCTTCAGATGTGCTTTTTGTCTGGCAAAGATACTGAATAGAGAACATCTTGTTCTCTTCTTCTATCTCCTGCCAAACAGTGTTTGGATAGCTGGATTCCCACTCCTGTTCTCTGTCTCTTTGTTCCTTTTGTGGCACTAAAATGCCTCTTGCTAACTAACTAGAGCCAACACCATCCTGGGCATCCCTTCCTTGTTATGGCCACCACTGACTTGGCTCTTGTTTGAACTTCCACCTGCAGAGGAACATCAACCAGAATCACCCTACTAGATCCCTGGGTGTGTAGGTTGGAAAGACTTGAGTTCTGTCTTCTTTCCTTTCTCACAGCATCAGATAGTGAATGTTGTAATATTAACCTGGACACAGAGACCAGCCCCTGCAGTAGCGACTTTGAGGAAACTATGGGCAAGAAGCTGCTGAGAACCTTGAGTGAGTAGCTTTTCACCCAGACAAGAGCTGCACACCTGCTAGTTAGTAGAAACATCATGTTAGGATATTACTGCTGGAGGAGGAACCACTGACTCCTTTTGGGAACCCTAATGAGGTTCAATTGTGGAAATCCACAATAGGGGTTGGGCCAGGACTGCACCCTTGATGGTTTGGGGATCTGTCCCCTTCAGTTGGTGATCTAGGACAGGAGTCTGCAAACCATGGCATGGGCCAAATCCTGGCCTCCCTTCCCCACCTGTTCTTGTAAATAAAGATTTATTGGATTATAGACCCATTTGTTATCTATGGCCCCAATGGCAGAGTTGAGTAGTTGCAACAGGGACCAAGTGGTCTGCAAAACCTATATTTACTATCTGGCCCTTTAAAGAAAGAATTTGTGTCTGGGAGACTCAAAGGAAATAAAATAAATAAAAAGAAAGCAGTATCCTCCAAGGAAGGAAGTCAATGGCAGAGAGAACAAGGTGAAAAATACTTCTTCCTAAAAACAACAGAGCTAGGAACAGAGTGCCCTTCCATCCTTGAGGATAATTATGTAATTACCCCCACCTGCCCCAGTGCAGCAGGGAGGTTGCTTCTGAGTTAGAGAATGTAGGCCCTGGGAGTGGCTCCCAGCTACACCCACCACCACTGGCTCATGGGACATCACAGGCTGTGAGACCAGTCCTCTCTCAGAGAGTGTCTAGCAGTCATTCGGGCCAGGGCCTTCAGGGGATGGGGAAGGCATGATCCTGAGGCGTTACCTGGGCTTTATTCAGTCTTCTCCAGGAAATCTCCATTCCATTGGCACTAGCCTGGGTTTCTGGCTTTTAGGAGATGTCATCTCAGTGGAAGGTGCATCCTAATCTTTCAAGATGTAAATATGCTGATATTAGCACAGGATACAATGCAGATTACTTCCTGCCAAACTATTAAGGGCTTCGTCTCCATTTCTGCTTCATTTTGAAGAGAGCTTGGACCACCAAGAAAGTGTGAATGTCCTCCCAGTCTTACAGATTGATCCTTACAAACTGTGTTTTTCAGGTGGTCGAAAAAGGAAGAGGTCATCAGATGGAGAGCGAGCCTCTGAGGAGAACTCCAACTTAATGCCTCTGATCACATGACAGGGCAGACAGCATTCACTGGGTGCGTGAGATTCCAGAGCTTTGGGGGAGAACCCACCCTCCCATCGTCTGCTTCCTCCCACAGGTGACAGAGCGTTCTGCTTTCCTTACCATCTCTTCACCCCTAGCTGTCAGTTTGGCAGATTTTCCCTCATTGCCTCCAGTTTGACGCAGAGCCTTCCTGTGGCCATAATGGGAGGTGCCTGCGATGGAACATGCTAGAAATGGTCTTGTCCACAGCACAGTCTGAGACTGGAGAAGAAATGACCCCAAGCTGACAGTGCCACTCTGGGACCCCTGATGCCCTTTTAGTTCTTTGGGATCCCCTGATGCCATATTTCATGCTTAGCTTAACTCAGAAGGTGCCACTGGCAGACAGGCACATAGGAGGCTGGAGTAGCAGGTATGAAGGTTAATTTCAGGAGATGCACCAAGAATTCCTCCAGAACTTTAGAGCAGTGGGACTCAGCCATGTTGGCATGTGAAGTTACAGTACAGAAAACTGTCAGTGACCAGTTTCCTGTAGATAAGGGTTCCAGCAACCTGGGAAGTGTGCCTCAGCTGGAAGGGAAAGAATGTGAGATGGAACCTCAAGTCACTGTTTTCCCCAGGGACATATCTGTTTTGGCTCCCAATCAGCAGTCATTGATCCATGGATAAATCTGCTCTGGAAGAGGAGCAGGGAGCAGAGAGACCCAATTGGGAGCCAGAGATGCAACTTCAGGTTTTAAGTTCAAATCAAAGCAACAACAAAAAAAATTATGTGGAAAAATTCTAAGCTGCTAAAGCAAGGTTAGCCATGACAGACCAAAGAGTGCCCAGGTCAGCCAAGAAGGATGCAAGCTCTCCTGGGACTTCAGTGTGCACCAAACAGCAACAGTGAAGAATCACTCTTCTTTTTCATCCATTCTTCTCACCCCCACCCTTACTCCACCCCAGCAGGTCAGCTAAGTGTACTTTATTCCAAGAACTTACTAGATCTCTGGGTTTTCACCTGGATGTTGGGGCAGATGCAATTCCAAGCATAACCACCAGATGGCAGAATGACGGCATATACCTACTTAAAGAATAAAATTATTCTGGTGAGGAACCACACCGCCAGCCTCTGGGAAAATGTGGAAGTAAGTGAAGCTTGTCATTGGGACATCTGTCTCCCTTTCTGATCTATCTCCCACCCTTTGGGTTCCCTCAGTCAGAGATCCAGTGATCCAGTGCTGCCTGCTGAATCTCCAAACTGTTCCCAAGCTTTTCCATCCAGGCTTACCTCTGCTTCCTCTAAAACCATTACTGCTACATCTCCATACCCATTCAATCAGTAATCACATGGGAGGTGGGAGACTGATATTTCCTCTGGGTTATTTGCATCTCAAAAGAAAATGCTTACCCACCAGAGCCTTTAACTCAGGGGTTCTTAACTTGGGGTCCATCACCCCAGAGGGTCCACTGTTGGACTTCAGAGGGTCCATGAAACCCCTAGCACTGTCAGAATTTAGTATGTGTTCTCATGCGTGTTTTCCAAAGGGCTGAAGCTTTCCTAAAATTCTCAAAGGTCTCAGACCCACAAGGTTAAAAACCACTGTTTAAGCTAGTGGAACTTTCAGCCCAAAGTTTCTGCAATGCAGAGTTAAGTGAATAGTGGGCAGTTTGAGACAGATTTTTAGTTATAAGTGGTCTTCTCAAGTGTCCATCAAATCGATGGGGAAAGCTGGCACCCATCAAGCAGTGGAAGTCCTCAGAAATTCTTGGCATACCCTAGAGTATTATACAACCTATACACCACACAACCCCGTCCCCTCTTCCCTGCCAAACTAGAGCAGGTGTTGCAGACAGGAGGGCCACAGCGTGTGGAAGTAAAGACTTTTCAGCTGGAGATGGCTTTCCCAGCAATGTGTTATTGACTTCATACCGCTTGCCTGGTTCTGTCTGAGGCTCAGCAGTGCATGACTTCTCGTAGACAACTCCACAGCTACCAGCCACCCCCAAACCTACTCTTGCCTGGTAGGAATAGGCAAAGGGTCAGCCCTCGGTGCTGGGTGCCTCCGACCCAAGCGGTGAACGGTGAGTTTCAAGCAAGAACTGCCATCATGCAGTCTTCTTGCCCAGCTGGCCACTGGCCCAAGGGGGCCTGCCTGGCTAGTCTTCATTACCCCTTAGGCCACCGGGCTCAGGCCACTGCTGCTGCATTACATCCCTCCCTTTGCAAAATCCCTGAGGAGCCTGTCACCACTCCCCGCCTTATTCCTCGCCCCCGCCCCCAAGATTTTCTTCAGGTTAAAAAAAGTTTAAAAAAAAGAGGATTTTAAAATAAAGGATTTATGAAGGCTCAATAAATTGTAAATAATTTTTAAATAAAATGAAAATGCCTTTCCTGGAATGTGGCTGTTTTCCTTGCCCCTGGTGGTATTTGAGATGCCGGTTGGCTGGTACACACCTGTAATTACCTCGCCCGAGGCCCACCTGCCTGAAGCCGCACCTGCCAGGGCCAGGTGTGACGCTGCTGTTAAGGTTACAGGAAAACGCCCAGGCTCTGCTTTGGGAGGTCAGATGGGTAAAATTTTGCAGGAGCGAATGCCGGAAATGGAAAGTAAAACCCAAATGAGAAGCCAGAGTGTGGATAAGGACACGGAAGAAGCACTAAGACAATAAGAAGGGCTGGCATTTGTGAACCCCTGTGATATGCGAGGTATGGGCTGGGTGCCTTCCAAGTTCAAGGGCTTGGGGACCAGACCCAGGCAAGCCCAGAGACAATGTGTTAGTCACACCAGCTCGCTTCTGCAGACCATTTGGAGAGGAGCCAAAGTAACACGACTCCAGCAGTTTCCAACCAAAGGCTGGGAAAAGGAACAGGGAGTGGGCCAGGCTTATTGGTGAGTTTTAAACAATGTGGAGGGAGGGAACAGCTAGACAGGTGGGAAGGTGTCTGAGCATCTAACATCTTTGAGGAAGGTTGGAATCGGACTCCTACCACCAATTTCTCAAACCTGCACACAGGCTGATTAGCGGCCTGTGCCAGAACGACTTAAGATTCTTCCCAGGAGCCTCCATAAAAGCTCTTAACTTCATTAACAATAATAATAAATGTTAGTAACAACTATTTTGCTGAGGGCTTTATGTGCCAAATCTTGTGCAAAGTATACATTAGCTCATTTCTTTCTTAGTACTACCCTGTGAAGGAGGCATTACAGTCTGTCCCTGTTTCGTAGACTGTGAACCGGGCTCTGAGCAGTTAGGTGACTTGCTCAAGGTTCCACAGCCAGGAGGTGGCAGAGCCGGAGGTGTGAGCACCCTTCTGGGGAGCAGGCAAAACGTGTGAAACCATCCTACCTCCCACAGCCACAGTGCACACCTGCGTGCTAGGGGCCCTGAGAAGTCCTACGGGACAGAAACCATCAGAACTCAGTAAGCCCAGCTTGTCCCCAACTTACACAGAGCCCTTTTTTCATGTGAACACACCTGGGAAACTAGAACACACTGGAGGAAACACTGACCAAAATATATGTAGGAACAAAGTGAAGAGGCCAAAGTCCCACTGAGATTGGTGCTTTTTTAAAATGCTGCAACATTTTAGCACTTTGATTTAAAGAAGTGCTTTTAACCATTTTTTTCATTGGTGCTCTCCCAAAGGGAAAAATTAAATTTAAATCCTCCCTAACAAGAGAAATTAAAATACCAAGAAATAAGATGTTGTCAAGGAGGATTGCACTTTGAAGGGCCACCAACCATTTTCATATCTCAGGCTTTTTTTGCCTCCAAGAACCAACTTTTGCCCCCTTGGAGGTGCTGTCACCCTCTTGAGAATTCATGGTTTAAACTATGCTTGGGGGGAATGATAGACGGACAGAAGGTGAATCATTTGACTCCTCTTTTGCCTGTATTCCCTGACTCACAAACATCTTTAAATAGGAAGGAGAGCAAATATCGATAGAAAGGAAGGTAATGAAGAGATGAGTGCAGGATCATCCAATCACTTGAAGTCCGTTCACGTGTGCCAGGCCCAATCACACACTTGCACAGTGTCCTCTGATGGACTGCTGGGCATCCAGCAGGACGTTGAAGGATCTGGAAACCATATGCTGTGCGGAAACACTGAAGAATGGGGGAGGGGAGTTGCATGTGGAAAAGCAAAAACAAGGAATAACAACTGCTACTTTCAAATATTTGAAAGGTCATCAATTAGAAGAGCCAGTCGACTTAGTGTCTGTGGTTTAAAGGAAGGGAGGAGGGGACCGGGGAATAGGACAGATGGAGATCATGTTCTGGATCAAGGTAAAAGATCTTTTTAATGAAGGTGCTCCATCAATAGAATGGGATGCTTCACCATGTATTGATGCATCCATCCCCCTACCCCCACCCCAGTTGAAAATGACAAGTCAGAGACAATACAGAAGAGACTATTGCACCAGGGGATCACTTCTAAGACCTAATCACTCTCAAGACTGTAGGATTTTATAACAACTCAAAAGGGGAGATCCATTAAAATAACAAGAATTATCTTTCAATATTCTAAAACTCCAAGTAGCCCTCTTGGTGTAAGTAAGACTCAACCCCACGAAATTCTACATAACCATCATTTGGAGAGTCCCTTGGACTCTTATGGAAAATGTGATCTATGTTGAAGTGGCTCTAATTGTTTCAATAGGGTAGGCGGTACTCCAACCACAATGGGTGGGGCTGGTGTTCTAGCATCACCGTGAGTCATGTCAACCCTTCTATGAATCCGTGAAGTCCAGTTTCCAGAATGATATAAGAAGAGAGTTGGCCTTCTGATAGACAAGCCCACAAAACTAAAATAGAGTTGTGGTACCGCGAGTTCACTAAAGAGAGGCATATTGCAAGAATACATTGTAGTTTTTTCTTTAGCAACTAGTAAATCCCTTTATAGTATTCATTTTAAACCAGGGGTACACACCCATTAGTGGACCACAAAATCAATTCCATGGGTCTTGATCAGCACTTTTATTTTTTTTGTGAAATAGAACACAATAGAATAGAATGGACTAGAAAATACCAGAATGCACTACACATCACAAGGGCAAATACTGTTTTGTGACACTTTTGTTTCAGTTAAATATTTCAGTTAAATATGTATGTGTGTGTGTGAGATATAAATATATTTCTTACCTCGGTCACCATAAAAACCTAAAGCTTAGGGCTAGGGACACAGCCATGCAGAAAGAGCAGGGAGACAGACACCCTGGGTCAAGATGATGAGTTTTAATGACACAGCCAACACCCACAGTCACACGTGGCTCTTCAGACAACTTGATCTTTGGAAGTAGACTTTGCACAGAGTCAAGCAACACGCAGAAGCACATGAGTGACATGGCAACACTCCCGTTTCTAGTGAGGGGACAAAATATCTATATCTCATGATCAAAGTACCTTTTTCTTCTTCTTAAATAAATACCTAAATTTGCTCTGGCTTCCAAAAGGGCTCTAATCCCAGGCCCCCATTTCTTTGCAAGGGATGTTCTCTTCACACGGAGCCAGTTTAAACAGAGGCAGAGCAGCCTTTTCCGTCCTCTGGGAGTCTGGAATCCACGATATACACAACTAGGTTTGCACAGGCAGGGAACACACGTGACAGAGGTTTGGGTGGTGTTTCTTCACTGGAATTTGGTTACTGCTTCATGGATGGAAGTGGCCACATAATCTAGATTTTTGGTGGTTAAGCCACACATGTTGATCCGACCACTTGGCAACAGATAGATGTGCTTTTCATTGACCAGATATTCAACCTGCTT